ACCCCTCTCCCCCCTTCCCACGATTCGAGCCCCAAACCCCAACCACGATTCGAAGACCCAAACCGCCGTGAAACCCCAACCACGATCCAAATCCTCCGCCACGCAATATGTTTGATGTGTTCCAAACTGAATTCAAAGGATTTGGTACAGAGTTTTGTGAAGAATTGAGAAAAGATGGGGATATTATTGAATACAAGATCTGTAAGTTTACAGATAGAGGAAAATGGGAGGTGGTTACTTATGAACAATCCAGTCAGATGCAGTTCTTTTGTACTTGTGCTTTGTTTGAAACTAGAATTGCAACGCTGAGGTGATCCTCGCGTTTAATATTTGAAACGCGAGGCTCAGGCCTTGTGACGTTGGTTTGGGCTTTGCATTTGGGAAACTTGAACGTGGATGTGAGCTTCGCGTTTTGAAAGATGGTTGGGATTCATTCCTAGAATCCTGTGCCATCTTAACAGCTTGGTGGCTGTTATAAATAGACCTGAATGGTCATATCAAAAGTCACTTCACCGTTGGACCATACATGCAAGGCATCGTAACATTGGGGTTGGCAACATCGTATTTGGAAGAAACATCTTGGGCTTAAAGAAGATTAATTTATTGAAATCTTGGGCTTTAAGAGCAAAATTCAATAATGTGCTCGAGCTTGCATTTGATTCAGAAGAGAAGCTGCAACAACTTGATGATGTGCTAACAAATTTCATGGAATCACTTGAAGAAGAAGGATATTCCTCAACCTTCCGCACCCATTTCACATACAATAGAGAACATTCCTCAGATAACAGTTCGTGATCCTGATAGACCTGCAAGGACTAAAGGTCGTCCACACAATGCTACTAGAATCCAGTCAGGTTTAGAACAGGCACAAGAAAAGAAAGAAAGGAAGAAATGCATATGTAGCATATGTGGTGAACTCGGGCATTATAGAACTAGCTGTAAAGTTAACTTGCAAAGGTACAATTTTCGTTTCTATTCAGTTTTAGCCCTATATAAGTTTATGAAACTTGATAGCACAAAGTCATATCTCATGATTAATTTGTCATATAATTTGCAGCTAAACATATGCACGGGTGGTGGATATATTGGTTTGTTCACAAAGTCATATCTCATGATTAATGTACGTATGATTGCTTGCATTTTTGTGTATCAATCTTTAACAGCGCTTTACTTACTCTGTTTTTAACTTTTAACAAACGATTTATTTGCTTGTGCATGTGTTTTTCTTACAGCGCTACCACTAACACAGGAACAAGCACAAGCAGCTCAGGTTCATCCACAACTCTGCCTTGGCCCCTCAAGCAACTCCATCAATGTCTCGTAGCTGCTGATTGTGTCTTGTAGCTGCTGATGTATTACTACATTTTATGTGTTAAGACTGATTGTGTTAAGACTGATTATGTCTTGTAGCTGCTGATGTGTTAAGACTAATTGTGTTAAGACTTCCAGAGTTAAGACTGATTGTGTATTATAGATGCTGATGTATTTTGGTTTCACATTTTGTGTTTTCATTTTGCTGTTAGTACATGAATATTATCTATGTTCTCATCTTGATTTCAGAGTTAAGACTTTCAGGTTCATTTTGCTGTTAGTACATGTAAAGTCCCTAAAGTAGTTTGTAGATCTCTTAGTGCATCTTGCTGTTAGTGCATGAATATTATCTTGCTGTTAGTGCATATTCTGTTAATGCGATGTGATTTGCGTATGTGATAATGCGATGTGATTTGCTGTTAGTGCATATTCAGGTTCATTAAGCAACAACAGCTTTAAAATCATATAGTGATTCAACTTGTAATCACAGTTGGGAAAGATAAATAACATTCATGTTATTAGAATTTTATAATATACACCAAAATATTACAAAACCAAATGGCTCTCAGTGAAGATATATGAACTTTTATAATAGTTGAAAGGAAGATGATTCCTCAGTTATTTCTACGCAAAGAGTAAAAGCTTACTATACATGCCTCAAACTGTGGTTCAAACTTGTTTAAGAAATCATCCTAGACTCACAACACAGGAAAAGACCTATGCTTGTTATTGTAATTACAGTTGCGTGTACTATTGCATTTGCTTCAAACTTGCATGAGAAATCATCTTAAATTCACAACACAGGACAAGACATACGCTTGTTATTGCTATCAAAATAAACAATATTAGTTTAACTGAAAATAAATGAGTTATGAAAAAACAGGCCTGAACGGATGATTTTGAAGCTGGTGCCGAGTTTGAAAGTTTTCACTACCAAGCCACAGTTCCTATCTCTGACACAGATCTGCTTGCAGGCTTCTTAATGATTTGGTTGAAGCGGTGCGTAGTACCGTCAAGACCGGTAGAGGCAATATTAGCTGAGGTAGTGTACCCAGCTGTTTTGCTAGCGCATGGGAGACCTGTGAGCCTCCTTACTGCTATGGTTGGTTGTATTCGGAATGGCCTGAGGGTGTTGACTTCAGAACTCCTCAGTGCTTCTAGAGTCAAAGCCGCTAAGAAGAAAGCTAGAAAAGCTCCTCAACCACGTGTACCAGTGCCAGACACATATTTAATGGCCTGGTTCGTGTTGCATT